ATTCCGGATGAAGGGATGGAGCGGCAATCTGAAGGCGGCTAGGACCGAGTCATAGTGCATCACAAGGTAGCGATGCAGATCGGGGTTGGAGACGAGGCTCACGCCACCGACACCATCCGGTTGATGAACCGTGAACGGATTGCCGAGAAGATCGCACATGAGAGCGAGCTTCGATTCTTTGGTGGTGGAAGAATTGAGCCGCCATTGTTCATGAGCAGTAGGTTTGGAAGACATATATGTTGGGGAGATTCCAAAGAAGATGAGAATCGCAGACAAAGATTTCTGAAGATTGAATCGAATTCGGTACCGTAGAGAAGAAAGTAGGATTGGCCTAAGAGACTTGTGTTTAAAGACGTTACGACGCGGAGCTTGAGACAAGTGGATTGGATCCATTTCTATCTCGGCACGGGGTTCGAAGGTGGCTCATCATTAATTTCTCAGTAATGCGTCACTAAGAAACTAAGGGCTTGTGATGGATATCGGGTCAATCGCTGGACAAAAAAGGCCCAAAGAACCCAAGAAAAATAAGGGGGCACGACGTCCACGAGTAAAGCGTGGTGGACCGAATAATTTGATCAAGTGACGAGTTGAGCCCAACCCACTAACCAGATCGCACGAAACGGGGAAGGGCAATCCCATTGATCGTGGGTAATTGACGAATAATTCCTCGCACATGATTAACGCACGACTAGGGTTTTTTATTGGGTTTAAATTTAGCATTATTAATTATGTATATGGGTATTTTAGTAAAAGAATTATATTATTTAATAATTAATTAACTCCTATATATGTAATTAAAATTATGAAGTCCTATTTAGAGAACCGATTATGTTTTAGTCTTATTTACAATAAAGTTTACTTTTATTACACTGTATATAAACTAGCATAAAATAAAAAATAAAATTTGCATATTATTAAAATATCACTTAGAGTAGGATCAAAAAAATAGTATTTAATCCTAAAATAAGAGTGTCATTTTTTTTATTTCCACAAAACAAGGCTATTCTATTATGATAATACGACATTGTATATTCACATTTCTCGGTATTATGTGGTTGCAATATTTGTCTTGTTTTAGATAAAAAAAAGAAGACCATATTTTGATTCTTTATTTATATTTTACTAATATTTTAGTCATTCTCCATTTAAAAAAAGCTACGCCAAAAGTTATACAAAATAAAAAGTGATAAAATTAATTTATTTTATAAAATAGTCAATGAAAACAGACAAATTGATGAAAAAAATCGAAAAGCCAAAATAGTGAAGTGGTATTCAATTATGAGGATGAGGGAGTACTTTGTATCTCATTTTTCTTATTCAATTTGCCACAAAAAAATCATCATACTTTTATAACTTTTCTAATAAAATACAAATTATGTGTTCTACAATTTTTTTCTTTGTTCTAACCAAATTTAAATCATTTTAGTTTTAATTTTTTTTCTTTTCAACATGTTTCTTAAACTCTATTAAGTTGAACTGTTTAATTAATTCGGGACCGTGTAAGTATTTTGCATGATTTTCGAGTCACATTTAAGTGAAAGAAGATACTTAAATAAGATTATAAGATGTTTCAAGTATGTAAACAGTGTTAACAGAAAGTCGGTTTACACCCTAAGAGGAGGGTGAATTAGGGTGTTTGAAAGTTTTCGTAAAAACAAAAACTTAGGCGCAAAGTAGTAGCGGAAAAAGAGCAAGAAAAATATAAAAGAGAAAATACGACAGAATCGATTTTATATTGGTTCGGGAACTCCCTACTCCAGTACCTCGAGGCTCCTCCTCAAGAATTTAACCTCCACTAACTTGTTTCGCTTCACTAAGAAGACTCAAACGAGGTTTGGCAAACAACCCTTGCCAATAAGCAAATGAGATTTTATACCGGATATCTCAACCATTTACAACCGAAGATTTAGAGGCTATCTTCAACCTTACAATGAGGATTTAAAGGTTATCCACACTTTTTGCAAAGTAATAAAAAGTGTTTGTTGCTTCTCTACCAAAGTAATAGATAATATGATGACATTCCCGGCCTACGAGGTTATGAACATGATTGGGTAGAAGAAGAACCAAATATAAAAACAACAACAATTGCCTATGAGAAAGATAAGAAAATGAAACACAAAAGCCCTTGGTGTGTGAGTGTTAAAAATGTAAAGATCAAAGCTTTAAATTCAAAAGAATAGAAAAAATCAGGAACTTTAAATCTTAGAACACACAAATGATTAAGAATGAGCTTATAGAGTGTAATGTATGTTAATGAGTGTTGTTGTATGTTTAGGGGAGGCTTAGTAGGGGTATTTATAGTGTTTAGGAAGTTTAAAATAGGTTTGAACTTTTAAGGAGATGTTGGGAGACAATTTAGGTTGATTGGGATTAATTAAATCAATCAGAAACAGTAACCCAACGAATCCAGTACCTATAACGGAAGTCAGGTACCGTCACGTTAGGGAGTACCGTTACTGACGGTATAAGGTCCCGTTAGATGTCCCGTCTGGAAGTTCAAATTTGAATTTCCTAAGCCTCAGGCGGTACCAGGGTACCGTTAAGACGGTATAGGGTACCGCCATAATGGGTTTTGGGCTGAGCTTCCAACCTGACAGTCGGTATAGTTCCGGTAGGGGGTACCGCCATAGTTCAATTTGGGCTGAGCTAGATTTTAACGGTCGGTAGGTCCCAAAGGTGACGGTAGGGTGTACCGGTTGAATTCTTTGACACTTAAATAAGTTTTAGCCGGGCGGTACCTACCTACTGTACCGAGTAGCCTAACGGTAGCTAGGTACCGTCTGCACGGTATAGGGTACCATTTGGTCTGGTTCTAACCCAAAAATGATTTTATTCCCGATTTTGAAAAATGACCCAATCTAAGCAATGTTTAGAAGCTTTTGGAAAATGTTTGTAAGTGCAAGGGCATAAGTGTAACATCATTTTATCAAGCTCTTACATTTTCATATCTAAACTCGAATGGATCATTTCTTGGTGAAATCAACCAAGTTAGGAGAGGTTCGGGTGTCTCGTTTAAGCCTGCAAAAAGTTAGTACTTGGAAGACTTATTTGGCACATCAAAACGTGGTGAGTTTCGGCATTCAAGGCCAACAAACACTTGTATGTTCAGGCTTGCTCTTTTTGGTTGGAAAAAATAACCTCTGACTTTATTCAGCTCCTAGTCTCTTCCATCATCTTCCAAGTTTTTCCAACTCTTTTCAATTTTTTTCAACGAATTAAAAAATGTATTTATATATGATGACTATACAACAACATTATCCAAATTTATAAAATACCCTTCAAACATGGACAAAGATGAAATTTTTTCAGTATTAGTTTCCTTACGTATATATTAGGGTGATCATTTAATTAGATAATTTTTTCAACACTTTATTTTTTTCAACATTTTCTAACTCCTAGTTTTTCCAACTCCTTTCGGTTTCTTCAGACTTCATTCAATTTCTTCCAACATCCAACTTTAGAATTCCAACCGAAAAAACATGAGTAAAATGTTTGAGTCACCACTCACCCGCATGAGAAAGGACACCGAGTTGTATATTAGATTTGATGTGCCATACAACTCAAAGTTGTTGATGAGATATCAAGCTCACATCAACATTGAATATTACAAGAAAACAAATTCTATCAAATACCTATTCAAATATGTCAATAAAGGCCCAGACAGAATGACTATTGTCATGAAATAATCTTTAGTTGGATCTCTTGATTAAGTGTATGATGAAACAAAGAAGTATGATTTCTGTTCCCTACCTTTTAGTATTTGTTATACACCATAGGTGACAATCTATTTTGTGATTGATCTTCCACCCTCAGGGGCAAAAATTTGTCACATTCAGAGACAAACAAAGAATTAAGGATGTTGTAAAAAATGATGTTTAATTTTCAAAGCTTGGATGTTTGCTAATATGAAGTATAGTGGTGGAAGCAATTTAACTTGTGCTAAATTTTTAAAATATTTTGTGTATTACAAAAAAGACCGACAATGATTTTAAAGGGAACAAAGACCATATAGGCCAACTACAATATGTGCACCCCGGCACTAGAGAATTTTACTAGAGAATAATATTAATTGTCCAGTAAGGATGTTCAAGTCGAGAGCCTGAGGACAGTAAAATATAATGTACATGCATGGCTCATTTGAGGATGCATGTGAGGCATTAGGGTTATTAATCGATGATAAAGAAAATATTAAAGATATAAAAAAGACTGCTTAGCTAAGCTCTGAGAGTTAGCTAAAAAAGTTGTTCCTCATATTATAAGTGAGACCATGAGCTATCCATAAGTTGTTTGAAGAAAACCATGAAAACTGTTAATCGATGGGATTTTATTTAATCAAAAAAGATATTAGGCAATCGAGATATTTCTCTAAAAAAATTCATGGTTATTATTTCAATTTTGATTTAAATGAAATGCTGATCCTAGTTTTAAAACATTCAAGTAAATGAAAAAAAATAGTTTAGAAACGTTTAACAAATGGTTTGTTATTCGCAGAGTTTTCAATATCTCCGGAAGATTTATGTTTGCTTGAAATTGAGAAATTATTTAATTCCAATGGACGGTCTTTAAATGATATACTCCTTAATAATATAAGCAAAGTTTCTATCAAGATTCAAACTTTGTCATGAGACATTATATATCCACATTACAGTGATAGTATTTCAATAGTTTATTTATGAAATGAAGAACGTTTATAAAGGAAAAAACTTGTTTTAAAAAAGAAATATTTTCATAAATGAAATACAATTTTTAAAATAAGAAATTTTTTCATCATCTTTAATAGTAACACTTTTTTGGGGGGTCATTATTTTTGTTGATTAAAACATAATTTTTCATAATAGAAAAGGAATGTTAAAGTAGAAATAGAGAATTGGAAATGTAATTCTAGTGTTGATATATTTAAATAGTAAAATGTCAAATGACAAAATATAATTTTCATTACTCATTTCATAAAACATTCTAGTCTTGTCATTTCTTGTTTTGTAGAAGCTTTAATATAATTTTTAAAAACACTAATTTTATACCAATAATTAAATATAAGTTCTGTCAAACATCATAAACTAAAACATGAACATTCATTTCAGGGCAAGGGAGTTAGCCACACATCACCAGTATATGCGCCAAAACTACTACTCCATGAAGTAGGGGTGAGTGCATCTTACGACCCTACGCTTAAGTAGGATAAACCAGGTTTGTTCGGTGTGGTTTGCAGCCATATATGCACCTGATGAAGAGTCGTGAGAATTAAATTGCACAGATTCAACCAAAACAATGAATATACCAAGGAACACAAAAACCATCCATTCCAATTTCCAAGTCGAACGAACTAAACCCATGAAAATCAAGTCAAATTTTGTGCCACTGAACGGATTTGAATTACCTTTAAGCAATGACTATCCCCAATCAAGAAATGGAAGTGGTGGATATCCACCCTCGGGGGGTGGCATAAGAGAGGGCGGTATATTACCCAAAGACGTGACTCTATACATATCACCTGCTATGAACACAACAAATGATATATTACAACTAACAAAGATGGACCGTTAAATTTAAGTTCAGAGATAGATATGCTCTAGGGGAGATAACATGGGTGGAGCAAAAGGAGTGGCCTCACCGGAGCCCAGGCCACCCCAAATTTGGTACAAGTATCCTTTTATACCGATATTTTCAAGTATCTGATTGTAAAATTCAGTGAAATATAATTTCAGATAAGACTTTTTTCCCCCAAAATATATCAAATTACTCCGTATACCTCCTTGTACATATATCTTCAAGTATCTATACAAAATAAGGTGTGACTTTATCAAATTGCTCCGAATACCTCCTTGTACATTTATCTTTAAGTATCGACAAATGCATTCAAAAAAATTGGTCTAAAGATATACATAGATCATAGGTATGTGTCTACACTATGTCTCTATTTATACCAAACTCAAAAGTTTTCTTATTTCATTTTATCAAAACTTGGAATTTAGACACTGATTCAGAGGACTAGGATAGGTGAAAGTTTTTAGTGAAACTTGATCCTTGTCCAGAATAGTTTCTGCCATATGAAGAAGTGATATAAAAAGGGCCATCAAATGATAGAGATAAGAAGTGTAATAAATAATAGATGACACAGAATAAGAAAAAGAAAACACAACTCACCTATAATTCCATCAGGGTTCCTACTTTGTGTGTTTTGCTTTGGATGATAAAATCTACATGAATCCCTGTCCGGGCATGAACCCTATGAGAAAAGAGAAAAATCCCTCATTACAGTGGATTCAAGAAAGCTACTAATAACAAATCTCTCATTTGGCTGTTCCATCTTAAGTTTATTACGCTTCAACGCATCATTGAAATGTCAAATTGCCCTTCAACGATAAGGCGTAGAAATCAGCTTCTGATCATTGAAGTTCAGAACTCAAATTACACTTTAATATTGACTATAGATCATTTGATCGCAATTTCTTACTCTATACAACAGCAGAAAAATGGTGAAGTGCTTCCCACTCAATATTGTCACATCAATGAACTGTAATTTGACAGAAACTAAAAAAACAATTGTGTGGTTATGGCAAGGATAAGATCTAAAGTGTGATATAGCTCATTCTCCCGGGCAAACAGAGACTGAAGCCCAGCTCAGCACGCAGAGAATTTTTTTTTTTTCGATTTCTCCTCATTCACAACGAAACCCATTTCTCCAATTGTTTCAAGAACATATGTAGAGATGCTCTTGTGGTCGATATTTTTGGGAAAGTTGAGTTCTTGGAATGACCTAGAAAGTTCATTCTCCCGACCTACCTTCATCTCTTCCCCATCAACATCTCACATCCATCCACGTAAAGATATCTTTCCTTCTTTGGTCGAGGTCTACAAATCCGGCCATTTACCTTTTTCTATAAGTCTGGCAATTTTCTTTTTTCAACAAATCCGGTGTTCTTTGTTCTACAAATCCAAAATACTTAACACCCATAGGGAAGAATCGGAGAGCTCTACAAATCGTTCGACGTAGCAAAGCTCATTCTCTGGCGGTCACTTCAACTCCATAGCCGTCATGACATGCCTGGCTTGCCGACAGCGCAGAGGTTGGGTCAGTTTCTTTTCACAATTTAAGGTTTCAAATCATCTTGTTTTTGTTTATATATCATCCCCATGTCAAATTCTTATTTATTTCATCAATTTATTGTTACATTTCATCTCAAGAACATTTTTCCATTTTCATTTGTAAGTAAATTTTCAATTTGCTAATTATTGTTTAATTTAACTTTTGATCGATCTTTTCCTAAAGTAAATTCTACTCAATCACCTTTCTGGTGGAGTGCTATGTGCTATGATGATTTTTTTTTCCTTTATGTTCATTTCAATTTTATGATAATATCCTGAAACTACATACATGTTACTCTTGGTTAATTCTGAAAGATACGGAGTATATAAATAATATCTTGAAACTACGTACATGTTATTCCTAGTTAATTCTGAATAATATACTCCGTATAAATAACACATCGTTGAAATGTTGAATTGATTCTTTTGTGTGATGATTGTGGAATATGAATGAAAACAAGAAAAAGAAAAAGGTCAATTAAAACATGACTCTAGTGTTTATGTGGAAGGTAACAAACATTGATGTCCCAAGAAAACTTTTTTCACCGCACAAAATGTGTTACGTGACATAGCTTTGCTATTATTTTTGAGTCGCAAGACTTGAGTTTAACCCTTGACCTATGAATTTTGTGCCACAACAATGCAAAATTTCTTCAGTTATCTTTATTTGTTACTTACTCCCTCCATCCCACAATGATGTTTCCCTCACTATTCACATGGTCAAACTTTTTATCCACTTTCTTTTGCATCTTGTTTTACAGAACTTTTTATGTACTTTTAAAATACAGAAATTTTATTCTTTAGTTCAATGCCACTGTTGTTTTTTATCTGGTCTCAACTGATCCAAATAAGAATTAGTAATAAGAATAGGTTGAAAAGAACAAGCTTATACAATAAATTGTAGATACGATTATGACACTCAGGTACTGCTGCCCAATATGTTTCAAGTCAGCCATCGACACGTGAGTATTAGAAGAGAAATGGATGAAGAGGTGATTTTACAAAACTTGTGCCTATTAAAATCTTTTTCATGTGTTTAGTTTATATGGACTACACAAATAGGTTTCATACTCTTTGGGGCATATTACAGTATGCATCTCCTCTAGGGGGTTATAATTAAGATCAACCAGTAACCTTAAGACATTTAATAATTTGAATGTTTTTCATATAAATCTTACTCTATGGGCATGAGAAGGGTAGAGGTAGACCAAGGAAGAGTTAGGAAGTGATTAGAAAGGACTTATGACTTATCAAGAATATGGACTTAGATGATGATCTAAGATTAGAGTAGTTGGATGGACCTTTTGGGCCTTAGTTTGTAATNGTTTCATACTCTTTGGGGCATATTACAGTATGCATCTCCTCTAGGGGGTTATAATTAAGATCAACCAGTAACCTTAAGACATTTAATAATTTGAATGTTTTTCATATAAATCTTACTCTATGGGCATGAGAAGGGTAGAGGTAGACCAAGGAAGAGTTAGGAAGTGATTAGAAAGGACTTATGACTTATCAAGAATATGGACTTAGATGATGATCTAAGATTAGAGTAGTTGGATGGACCTTTTGGGCCTTAGTTTGTAATTTATGTTGGTGCATTTTACCCTAGTTTGTACTTTGTAGCTTGTTTTCATGTCAATACTTTGGGTCTAGTTGCTAATGTCGGTTTGTGTGATTCATGTCTCTTTGCTCTTACTTTACCCTTACTTAGTTCGTGCTACTCTATTTACTTTATTTGTACGTCTGTTTTTTAGCAGGAGTCCCTTGGAAGTAGCCTCCCTACTTGATTAGGGGTAAGGACTGCATGCAAACATCGTCCACAGATCCTACTTTTTGTGGAGTTTTTCTGAATCAGTTGTTGTCTTACTCTATGACTGATAGGATGTTACCTTTTGATTAAGTACTTGTGCTATTGATGTTGTAATATAGATTAAGCATACTACCATGCCTAACGATTATAGAGACCAGAAGTATTTCATGATTACAACTCTCTTAACATGTTGCATAGATCTAAGGAAACGTCTTCTTCCTTTTTCTTCCTCCTGCAGTTCTTTAGAGTCTAAATGCATGCCTGACCCCCCCCCCCCCCAAAAAAAAATATTTTAACCTTTTCAGGATTCTGATTTTGGGTTTTTGTTTGGTAGCCATAATCGTCTTATTTAGCTAATCAACACAAGTAGCATCTCACTATTTCGGTTGAAATCAAGATTGCCAAACGTTGTTCCTTTTAGACAGCTTTTACACTATGTTTGGTTCAAGGAATTTAAAGAGGGAAAAGAAAAAAATGATATGGAATATATTTTCTTGTTTGACTAGAGAAGAAAACAAAACAAAAGTTGAAGGAAAAGAAAATGAGAAAAAAATACACTAAGAAGACCGGAAACAAGTTTCCTTCCATTTTGGTGAGGAAAAAAGAGAGATCTTTTTCTTTTCCTGTCCTTCCTAACGTCTCAAACCAAACATAGCATTAATGATTGTTTTCAAGATTTCCATTCTAAACTTCTGCTTGGAAGCCATCATTGGCTTGTTTTGCTTATCATGATTTGATCTTTAATTTAATAAAAATTGGTGTATTGATGGGGTTCAAAAATTGATTTGCATAAAGTTCACGTTCTTGAGTCATTTAGAATTTAGAAATATCAAAACTGTGAGGAACTAAACAATTCAAGGTAACATTTCTCAACCCCAATTATTTGTTCTATTTGAACTTTATGTACTAATTGCACATACCTTAATGTTGCTAGTTTGCTACTGACTCATGGAGTTGTTTTGATAAATTTGTCAAAATACCATTTGACAGGAGTGGGAGGATATCAGGTGCATTTATAACGGACTTACTAAGTTATTTTGATCAATTTATCGAAATACCATTTGACTGAAGAGATCCCGGGTTGGTCACATTTTTGCTTATCAAAGAAACCACGGCCTTCTTATCTTTTGTGTTGTTACAAAAGAAGATTATATATTTTCTAGTGTACTTTTCTTCAAAAACTGGGAATGACTAAAATTACTTTAAAAATATATTCTACTAAAAGAGTATGTTCTAGAGTATTTCTAAAGCACATGCATTGTTTTGTTCTTTCCATCAACTCAGACAATTGTATATTCTTGAAAATTAATATTTAAGTTTACATTAAAATTCAGATTTAGGCATTTATTGTATGTGATTTTTATTACATTTTAGAAGAAATCACTTACCGTGCAATACACAAGTACGACTATAGCTTTAAACAGACTAATTAACTTGCAAGTCTTGCAGATAAAAAGAGAAAAAATAACTTAGTACAATCTAACAAGTACATATATTAAAAACTCCTATCTAGGTGATGAAATAATGGACCTACCCTACAACCTTAATCCTCACCGTGAAATGCTCCTATCTCAAGAAATTGCAAGTCTTGTCTAGCCACCTCGCTCCAACACTTATTTAAGTCTCCTTCTACCCTCCTCAAATTCCCTAACACTAACCTTTCGCACCTCCTCACACGAGCATGAGTACTCATTAACACGTGTCCATTGTCCAAACCATATCAATCTAGCTTTGCACAACTTAATTTCCACAGAGGGGTGGGAGAAACGATGGAAATGTGAATTAAAATACATATAGAGCTACTAATAATGAACTTTTATAGGATTGATGTGTTCAGTTTTTCAGTCCCCAACCACAACCAAGAGAACAAAGTTGCTAATTAACCGATAAAAAAACAATAACTAGGCAAGACCACTTCGCAACTGAATTCTATAAAATTGAAGAGTGTTGCTAGGGTGCCCCAAATGGACGCCCCATGGGTTGCACAGACACGCACAAGCAAAATCGTATGTGTGTCTTGCACGTGTCTGTGCAAGACAAGGGGTGTCCATACAGGCATCCATTTGGGGCACCCAAACTTTATTCAAAATTGAGACGAAAACTTTGATGTGAAGGGAACAGAAAAATAATCGAGACTAGGCAGAAAGGTACCGTTTGAAAGAAGCGGTGGCAGACTCCATTGTTAAAAGATTTCGGGTGGCTATGTACCTGAGGATCTGCTAGAACACCAAAGAACTAATACCAATTTCGAATACATATGTATATAATTGTGAAGTATAAAGAGGAAGTAGAGTAACTGACTGCACAAGGACTTGTACCAAAGAGCTTTGGCTCTCTGATGATGGAGGCCCTGAAGGTGGCGCCGCCGAGCCGCAAGCGTGTCCTGAAACTCTTTATCACAATAATCGCAGTAGTATTTCCCCAGCGGCATTTTGAGATTTCAGGCTCTGGTGTGTTTTGGAGTTTTGGGGAGTGAAGTCCGGATCCAAAACCACATGTGTTTGGCCATAATATTAGTTGAAATTTGCACTGAATAGGACTAAAACATAAGTCATTTCTCAATGTAGGACTTAAACTTTTTTATTCCCTAAATAGGATTTAATAATGACTAGTGAGAAGGATAATGTCCAAGTGATGCTGGACATTCAGTTGAATAATGACTAATAGATAATGAGCAATGGTCCTACATTGGGAAATAAAAACATATGGTCCTATATTGAAAAAGTCATTATATTTTAGTCATATTTAGGTAAATTACCCATAATATTACTCCGTATTTGTGATGAACGTTAGCCTTTTGTTTTGAAATACATTAATTTCACATTTAAAAAACACCAAGAGCCTGTTCTTTAGTACATATGCTCGATGTTGGAAGAAACTGGGAGAAACTGGAAAAAACATGAAAAAATTTGAAGGAACTGGAAGAACTGGAAGAAACTGGTAGGAACTGAAAAAAATTAAAAGAATCTGAAAAAACTAGAAAAAATTAGAAAATCTAAAAAGACTTCAAAAAAAATTTGTGTGTAATTATATTATTCTCATCATAATTCTTGTTGTTATAAATTATTATTATTGTTGTTGTTGTTGTTGGTGGTGTCATCACGTTATCTTAATGAATGTCTTTAAGATAAAAAAAATATTGTTATTTTTCATACATAAAAAAATTACTTTTGAAAAAAAATAATTAGGATATAAAATTAGCATAAATATCAAAATGTTAAATACGTAAGAGTTATTATGGTTATGCTGTATTTATTATAAAATAATATATTTGTAATTATATTTTATATATTACAAAATTTTGTTTTAAATATCAGACATGTCACATAATGTAATCAAATCTACTTTTTCTTTATGATTGACATTTTATTTTCATTGTAACCCTACTTTTGGAATAAAGACATAGAACTTTTTTTACATTTTTTTATGTTTTACTCCTACTTTAGTCATTTTCTCTAAATACTTTGACTTTCAATTTTTTTTATAAAAATTAGAAAAATGAAAAACAAAATTAATTTTTGAAATAAATAAAAATGAGAAAGAATTGAGCTAGATGTCTTTTTTCTCCGCTTGCTTTTTCGTTTCCCCTCTTTTTTTGTATATTGTTTTCCGTTTCCCTCTTTATTTTCTTTTTCTCTATTCGTTTAGGATATATATAAGGGACTATTTTATCTTTAATTTTTTAAATAGTTTAAAATATTGATGTTTTCCTATTTTAACATGTACATTAATATACAAAAAAATGGTATTATTCATATTAAAAAGTTGAAGAAAAAATAATAATGAATGTGAATCATAAAAATAGTGAGATGAAAAAAATGAAATAATTCATAAACTATAGTTATGAACATAATAATTTTAAATTAAATTATATAGAAATGTTCTCTAAGGTTCGTAGATCATTTTGGTATCATTAATTCATAATTTTAACAACAATTTAAAGGTTTATGCTTCTTGGTTCTTCAAGTATGTCAAACACAAAACTCAGCCAAACGACCGTTTATGAACGTAGAAACGATCTATACGAACATTCTAATCACGAGATATATCTAAGGGCTTACCTCAGAGCTTAACGATGATTCCGTCGATTGAACGGTGAAACTTTCGGCGAACACTACGGCTTGCTCCGGCGACTTCAGCGACCACCAGCTATTGCAGCATGTTCTCCTCACTCTCAGGAACACATTGGTACTAAACTTATAATTTTTGGTGAAGAATGAGAAAGTTTATGGTGGTTTATATAAGAAGAAAATGGGAAAGGTGACAACCATTGCTGCGTAGGAGCTGATTCACGATCTATAGTGGGGGAGGAGACACCGTTTACACATCTTCCCTGAATGGGACTAATTTTGGTCCCATTCGGGATATACTTTTTGCTCAAAAGATTTTTTGCGGAGTGATAATAATCTAGTTCTCATAGCATATTCTGAGTCTTATTGGGCAAGTTATTCCCTTACTCATCGGTCTGTTACTGGATACTTTATTATGTTAGGTGAGTCTCCCGTTTCTTGGCGTACTAAGAAGCAAACTATAGTCTCTCGCTCTTCAGTTGAAGCTGAGTATCATTTTATGGTGCACGCTTGTAATGAAATTCACTAGATAAGAGGTATATTAGCTGCCCTAATGATTCCATGTCAAGCTACTCCGCGGTTATATTGTGATAATATGTCTTCTCTCTTCATTGCTGCACTCTTGTCTTCCACGAGAAGTCCAAACACATCGATATTTATTTTCATATTGTCTGTGAGTGTTCAACGCAAGAATGTTGCTACTGCTTATGTTCCCATGAAGCTGTAAGTTGCGGATCTCTTCACCAAAGCAGTTGCTGGACTTCTTTTCAATTTTCTTCTGTCCAAGTTGAGCATTTTTTATATTCATGCTTTTACTTGAGGGAGAGTATTGGAGTATGTTTTTTAAGTATATATTTTGCATTTAGTTTGTTTCCTTGTATAGGTGGGATTGTGTTTCCTTAGATAGCTTGGTAACTTTTTTAATGTATATATACTAGCTAAACATCAATGAGAAGGCAACCAATTGATTCCAAAAATAATACAATAAATTTACCTTGTTGCTAACTAAAGTTTAGTGTTTGTAGCTGTTTGATTCAACCAACAAGTTTTGTCAATTTGAGCTTAATTTGATAATTGGGTGGTTAAGTAAATGGTGTCCTTATTGACATTTGATTTGGATCTTGATAGATTTTGTAGTTCTTGTAGTTTTAGATGTAATTTTGATGTCAGAATTTATTTTTATGTGATGCTACTCGAGAAACTTAACTGAGGATAATGATCTGATTAAGCTTAACAACTCCAATTTCAAGAGCTTAACATTTCGTTGGATTTGTTGTTCATGCTTCAGAACTGATGCAATTTTCAATGAGATTATAATATTCAAAGTGATTTTCAATGCTAATGATTGGTTGTTTGGAAATTGTTGTTTTATGTTTTATTATAGGGGTAATACATCCAACCGCCCTTTACCCTGCGATGGGTAGGAGTGTTTGAGGCACTAGCGTAATGTTACGTTGTTATATTTTATTATGAAAATTGACATTGATGTCACCTTTTGCCAGTCATGATTGATGGAATTTAATTGCATAATTTCATAGTAGTATAGAAATGTGAATGACAGGTTGCCTATCTTATATTGCATTACTCATGTCACTAAGGTGCCACCCAAGATCGAAGGAGCAGAGTAGATATACACCTTAGCTCGAGATCAATGGAACAGAGGACTAGAGGATGACAGAAGTAGTGGTTTTAGTGAAGGGAGATGACTTCTTTGCGTGTATCCATAGAATATGTTGAAGACATCTGATGGAGAAACTCAGAAATGAGAGAAATGGAAGATAAGTAGGAGCTTTCAATCATAGTGGGCGGGGAAGCTAAAATAGAAAGTCTTATTTTTTTAGCTTACCCATTAGACCATATATTTGAGATTTTATTCTTCAAATTATTAATAAAATAGCATATATTGGAGGTATATAATACAATTGCCTAAAGTTTGTATTAGTGTTCTTTTTGTATAGATGTTTCAATTAAAAAATACTCCATATTCCATATTTTCAAATACTCCTATTGAGGAGCAATGACTGCATTTTGTACAATTTGATTGAGTATAAACTCACTTTTTTCTTTTATAACGATCATATGCTAATACATAGTATCCAATTAGAATGTACCAACTCATAATTTTCTATTCTCTTTACAACAAAGTACGATTGTGTCGCATAATAGACGAAACAAACTTGCCTAAAATTGTTAACAATTCTATATTAAAATGGTTGGTTCTCCGATCTGATAATGTGCTTTAGCTCTGCAAGACTGTTGGTGTGTGTGTATCTTCTATTTTAAATTTCTTAATCTTAACTATCTTTGATTTTTTATTAGATGCTTAATTTTTTTATTATTTTTTAATATATAAATGGTGTAGTAAAAGAGAAAACAACAAATTAGTCATTCAAGTATTTTTAATTTCATCTTGAATTTATTAATTATTAGCACCATAGTTTTTAGAATCGGACCGGGGAGTCGGGGACCGAACTGGTCAAGATACTGGTTCATTGGTCGGACCGGTGGTTTAATTAAGTGGTCGAACCAGTGGTTCACGCATATTTAAAAATTATATATATATATATATATATATATGCATGTATGTATATGTATGTGTGTGTGCGCGTGTGTGTGTGTGTATATATATATATATATATATATATACATACATACATACACACACACATACATAAACAATAATATTTAATGAAATAATATTTCCTTTATCTATAAACAAAGAATTTATGATGTATTACTAAATTTATAAGCAATTTAATTATTTGAGCAATAGCATTAAACTGAAACAAATGCGTATTCAAACAAATAAAAAAATTATAAAAGAAGAGGTGATATTTACTGTTTTATAATTTACACAATTTTTTAAAAAAAATATTTAAAAAAGTTATTAGTTTTGTGATTTGAAGTTTACATTAATACACTTGAGTTATTTTACTAAGTTAAAAAATAAAATTTACGTATTTAAAAAAATAATATTAAAAATTTTATAAGTGTAGACTTAATTTTATTTTTTTCAAATAAGTTGTATAATATTTAAAAACACTCAAATGAAATATTTGCATGATATGCATCTTGTAATACTATCAATTATATTTTCAAAAATAAAAAGAAATCTTTACATAATCTTTTTTAATGATGAAATATTTTAAAAGATTAAGTGAACTTGTAACAAAAAGTTTCATAGCTTAGATGGTAAGAACTTAACTATAAATGTCTAAAAGATCTTGAGTTCAAAGCCCCACGGTGTATGTTTTTGGGAGAAAATGTAAAAATTTGCAAAAATAAAAAAATAAAAAAAATTTGGCCGGACCGGTTCACACTGGTTCAATGCAGGTAACGGTCCAATGGGTCGGACCAAACCGGTTGGACCTCTGGTTCGGTACGGTCCAGTTTTTAAAACTATGATTACTGATTAGCACGGTCCATAGAAATTAAATAATTACAAAAAAAATCCAAAAAAAGTGGAATTCTTTTATTATAATGGGATGGAGATGGTATAACGGATGGAGCATGCTTACATGTGCCCCAAAATTTGTACTTCATTTGTACACCAAAGGTATGCACCAATATTTTGATGATTCATATGACACAAAGTGTTGGTGTATTAACAAAAATTAATTATATACCAATACAAAATATTGGTGCATCTCGGGGTGTACAAAATGACGGACAAATTCTTGGGTACAAGAAGCATTATCCATAACCGATTCATAATTCAACAGCTAAACCTTTTTTCTTGAGGGGTAAGAAAACATGCCTATTAAAATAAAAATCGACCGATGAAGAGTCCAGAGGACTCCAGCCAGACTCAACATTGCTTCTCTCTCTCTCTCTTTCTCTCGGGTTTTCAGGAGGTTTTGAGTTAAGAAGCCATGGGATCTGTTATTTCTTCGATCGTTTCTGAAAATCCCAAATCCTCTTCTGCCTCGTCAAACCCGACGACCCTGATCCCAAAACCCCCCGAAGCAAATCAATCTTCAGTTCCCAAATCCCCCGAAACAGATCAATCCTCAGTTCCCAAATCCCCCGAAACAGATCAATCCTCAGTTCCCAAATCCCCCGAAACAGATCAATCTACGGAACCAGGGAAGCAAGAGTCTGAAGAAGAAGAAGAAGAAGAAAAAGGAGAGTGTGGGTTTTGTGTTTTCATGAAGGGAGGCGAGTGCAAAGATGCGTTCACGAATTGGCAAGATTGCATCAAGGAACTTGAAACTGAAAATACAGACATCGTTAAAAAGTGCTTTGATGAGACTTCGTCTTTGATGAAGTGCATCAAGGAGCATCCCGATTATTATGGACCGATTTTGAGAGCCGAGAAGGAACTGGAGAAAGATGCCAAGGACTCCGAACGTATGGAAAAAGAAATGGCTGATGATTTCAAGGATCCCGAGACGACTGCCCAATCAGATGGTTAGAAAATTGTTGATTTTTTTTGTTGTTCTAAATTGATAGAGGTCTCCGAGTCACCTAGTTACTTCAGACAATGTGATTGATAATTGGGTTAACTTTGATAATTGGTTGATTGATAGATTAGTTCTTCAATTTAATCTTATTTGACAATTTTTGCCTCTCCTTTTCAACAACTATGTAGTAGAATCCCACGCGAGTAGGGCGCTTGGGAAGGGTGCGAGTAAGGAGACATTAGAGCATCTCCAACCATGCTTGTCATATGAATTTGCTATTTTTAGATTGTAGCAAGTGAATAGTGATATAACAAGTACTTTTTTGTTTCATTCTCCCACCATCATTTGCTATTTTATTTTTTAAGTACTGGCTTGTTAAAATTTGGGGGGCTTGTTTTATTTAGCAAGCCAAATTTATTTTTTGGCAAACTTGTTAAAATAAAGCATACCCTTTGGAGAAAAAAAAAGAAGAAACTAGCTATTTTATAACTTTTAATAAGTTAAAATGATATGGTTGGAGATGCTCTTATTACCTCTGTTAAAAGTAGAGAAGAGAGATTCTTTTCAAGAAAAGAATCTTTGAGTTAAGTTTTTCCAAAATAGAGATGAAAATATGGTTTGCATTTTTATCCTTCTAAGTGCATTCCTAACTCATATAGGTCCATGTATGTTGTATTGAATTAAATTGGTCTTTGTAGTTCAAAAATAAAATATAAATCAAAATATGGACGAGTTAATTTATTGCATAAGCTAACCTGCAGGTTGGACGGGTGGAGTGTGAATAAAAATTTGCAAACAAGAAATAAAGTCTAGGTATTAAAAACCGTGCAGATTTTTGGTGAACGAGTTTTGTAGTGTTACTTACTCAATTTAAATGTAATATCTCTGTCTACGCCGAGATGTGAGTCTTTTACCACTTATGCCGAGGGAAAAGCTTCCTAAAAGAAGAACATGGTGCTATCAAATAACAAAAGGATGGAAACAACCATAGAACATTGAAGGGCATGAAAGCAAAAAAAAGGGAATGATTACACCTAAATGTTCCTCAATTTAGCGTTTTCATTCTTGGTAGTTGTGGCAAAATAGCCAAACCAAAAAACCATTTTCCAAACATTGTAAATGGGTGGTTGATTGACTAATCAAATCAGTTATACATGACCAAAGAAGCCAAAAGTGCAGCCATTTTTCCCAGGTGGCCATTACCTTTACCTCTTAAAACTTTCTTTGACATGGGATAATGGTTTTAAAATTCCCTGATGTTGGGTGTATAAGCTAAAGCTACGCAACCAATCCTGAAAGTCCATATTGTCATCATCTTTTACATGAATAATGATGCATATAAGTTCATTTTATATGTATGGGTGGGGTTCCCATGTTCGGGCCGGGGCGGGGTGAAAACCGTCAATTTTACCGGCAATGTCATGGGAACCGTCCCGTATATGTATTTATCTATCAATATGTGATGTGTTATATGTTCCTTTTTGGAGCCAATCATGATATGTTTCCATTTGGTTTGGTATGTTTCTGTAGCAATTGACATATTGCACAAATAAAGTCTCTAAAATTGAAGTTACAAAAGTTTGACCAAAAGTGGAGACAAACTTTGATATATTTATATTAGTTGCTGGAATAATTGTGTGAGTGATTTTAATAGATTACTAAAAGTGATCAATTTATTAATCAATTATAAAAAAAATAGTTTGTCTTGTCCATGAGAACGTAAAATTGAACAAGACAAAACTTTCAAACACATCAATGATTCTTAAAGATACGACTTTGCTGAAATAATTGTAACAGAGTTATCATTATTTCCCATTTGAATTAAATATGTATACATTGGAATGAAACTTAATTAGTCGTATACATGTACTAATTAGATCCAATTTCTAACACTGAATTCATGCTCGTAGTATATATATATGCCTAGCATGCACATTGTTAGGGAAATCATACATTCTCCTTGTTCAATCTTCAAGAGAAATGATACTCAGTTCGAACTAACTCTTATGGGAGGTTAACTTCTGTTTTATGACACCAAACTTCGGTTCATCAAATGACACAATTTCCGCGGAAACACTGTTGATCCAATGACGTTTGCGAATTGTTTTTCGGGTCATCGACTACATATATAGAATATACTCCGTATAACATTACTACTTAGATCCACATTGTTGTTTCTTATTCTTTTCGGGTATTAATTTTTTAATGTGATTGTTCAAACAAGACGCAAAAGTGTATACTTTGGATTTGGCCAGTTGAGTGTTAAGTGTCACTAGCCCCATTCAAGGTAGTTTATGTACGAGTATGCACAATCTAATCATGTGATCTCCTTGCATGAATGAATTGGTTAGTTTTCAACTTGAACATGGATGATTGTTTTTGTTAGTGAGTGTCATGTTGATTTTTGGTGTGTCTCCAGACATCGGCAACACATGACCCAGGAGTGGGGATTGTAACACCCTTCTTTCTACTCCCTCCGTCCCATTTTATAACGTCTGTTTCAATTTACGATGTTTGACTGAAATTATTTTCAAACCATTTTATATGACAAATGGTATAGAATTAAAAAATGAAAACTACATAAAAAAAAGTAAAAAACTACATCAAAAGATCTACAAAACTAGTAGTGACAATAGTATTTTATTTTATCAAATTGTTAACGAAAATAGAAAAAGAAAGTAAATAAAGTTTGACTCTGTGAATAGTAAACATGCATTATAATTGGGACGGAGGGAGTATTATGTACTATGTACTAATGTTGTACTATATACTCTGTAACTACATGGGTAACTTAAAGAGAAATATTTAAGTACAAAGTCTCATGATCCATTTCTAACTGCGACAGTGTGAAACTTTTATCCAATGTGATAGCTTCTTCAACATACCGAGCAAAAACAACCCCTCTAAGAACCATATTCAGATTATACCGTAATTTACCTCTCACTATTTTGTCGGGCTAGGGTGTGGGGCGTCTGGAATGGGCATTCCACCCCTATATTAACTATCAAATTCTCCGCGAATACCTTAGTTTTGCAATCGTAGTGCAAAAATTTGATCAATTTTAGTCAAATTTACTTCGCCCCAATATATTCATCAAATTTGACTTTTACGAGCCACATTGGATGAGGTGTAATCATCAATATCTCTCAATTTGCATTGCATATCAATACAATGAAATAAAATTTTAAAAGTTCTCTACAAGATAAATCTAGTTAAATCATTTTAAGATTAATATACACCGTGTGTTTTATTTAATTAAGGTCCAAAGTTCTTCTAATTTGACTTGAAAAGTCAAACTAGATGAAGACACTCGGACAGAGGTAGTACATCGTAAAAGCCACAAATCACACATTTCTTAGAAGGGGTGCAAATCCAGTATAGGACAACAAGAAAGGGCAGCATCTGGTACCACATCAAGGTAATCTTTCTTACACCACTTGAGCAGATAAGTATGCTAAAAGCTAAAGGTACAAACCTTCAAGAAAGGTCACCCACCAGAATTATCTGAACAAGAGCATATACCTGCTTCCACAAATTAATATCAACAAATGCCTCTGGTGACCCTGAAAACACAAGTCAGGAGGGCTGAGTATTGTAGACTCTATGCATATGCAAGTATGAATTGAAACAACTTGGGGAAAAATCTGATAAAAAAGGGCTGAAAAAAAAATTGGATGGATACACAATGAGCCTTTCACAACACTTACAAAACAATATGTAAGAGCAATAAACATGCATGTATAACAATGGCTATACAAAGATAACCATTGCTAACACATAAGCTATGTCAACAAGATCATATTGATTATATCTTGAAAAATGAAAGCAAAATTACTTTTTCTACCTTCCAAATTTTAAAAATAGAAAATATAACCTATGTTTACTCTACCAATTTGTTAAGTTTTAAAGATGGATAACTATTCGTAAATTTTTCATTTTTCTAAAAGAACTTTTTTTGGTTTCATCCCAAAATAAAGCAACACACTGATGTCAGAATCAATCATTATATTTTTGGGCTAAAAGAACTTTTTTTGGTTTTATCCCAAACTCGATTTTGGGATAAAACATTGTTTTTCCATTGAGTTTTGGTTAGACCGATACTGCAAATCTGAGAACTCTATCCTAGGAGTTGCTTCTGCGTTCCTCTGCCAAACAGCAAGCTCCGTACTGAGAGGTGCTCCATCTTGCTTACACAACACAGACGACAACCCCGTGTAAGCAGGTGTAGGCCTTCTGCTATCTCCCTTTCCAATCTTCTCTTGTTGCTGGACTTCGTCTCCTCGTGGCGGAAATTCCTCTCGTAACCAGCGTGCCCCAATATTGTTAGAAGCCCGTCGCGTAGATGCCCTCAACTCCGGTCCGAACTTCCTCTCCACTTTACATCCCCACTACTGGAGAGTCTCTGGGCAGAAACGTTCATCATGACCTAAGCGACCGCACACAAAACAAAAGGTGGGCAGCCTCTCATATGCAAAATCCACATGAAACCATTCCTCCCCTTCCCTCTTCAGCCGTGTCCCTTTCTTCAAAGGCTACTGCACATCTAGTTTCACCCTTAATCTAAGATAGGAGGACCATGGGTTACTAAAATTTTTGGGGCCTGCCTCAACAAATTGACCAATCTCATTCCCCAATCGTTGAGCTACTCTTTCCGAGAAGAAACCGCGTTTTAACCCATAGACTTGTACCCACATAGAGATGATGCAGCGGCACCTCGGAGGGATCTTGAGATCTACCCAGTCGTTCTAGGAGTAGCGCTTGGTTATTGAAAGACCACGGACACATCTCCATTACCTGCTCCATCTCTGCCAATGCAACAAATTGGAAGATATACAAACCTTCACCCGCTTCCTTCACCACCATACCTTCCTCCGGACGCCACAGAGAAGCCATCGTATTCTTCATCGCCACAAAATTGACTGGACGATCAGTAAGGAACCGACCCACAAGGCAGAAATCGTAAGCCGGCTGCTGGTTTGATGAGTCTCCAATTTCATCGCCAAAGATCAACCCATCATCATCCTCGTTGTCCAGAGAAATCGCTGCTATACCACTATCAATATTGTTCGGATCCATTTGAATCAATCATTATATTGATAACAAACAACGAGTCAATGACCAATTGACCACCCACATAATCCATCTATGGCAGCCATATCACAATGGGCAAAGTCATTGCCAGTTTGCCACCGTTAGCAATCCTGACCCACCTGCCGTGACCCCTATCAATATAAGCACAAATTCTGCATCTATTGTTGACCACTATCACCACCATTGTATTATCCTACCACTGACAAATGGCACCACCACTAACAGCCATTGCTTACAGCTCTTGTCTTCAATTTTGACATCATCACCACCAGTATCATTGCCAACCACAACAATGGAAACAGATATGACTAGTTAAGATCCAAATGATACCCATGATTCGATATTCAATTCATAGCATGCTCCTTTAAATTGAATTTTATTCACTAGTAATCCTTAATTCCAAGTGCCATTAATTATTTGCATTCTTTGAAAAAAAATTCACTTTAAATATGCTATTTGTTTGGCTTCAAATTTAGCATATAGGGAAAACATTTATATTACCAAACAACATGTTTTCGACCATGTGAACCAACTCGAGTCCAAAAGGAATGTACTCTTCACCATTCCTCTCAAAATACAACCCTCGTGGAAAACAATCCTCTTACCAAATGAGTTGACAATGGCGCCAGATTTTTAACTTGTCAAATGGTGCCCTTGTCATGGAACTACTAGAGGACACGATCTGGGTCCTAACTAATTAGGTTTTCCACCCATTATTATGTTGACTCATTACAACCCCAAAATGTTTACAGGGAGTTTCCAAATGTTATGGGTTTCAAAAACATGAAACACGGCCTCTCAAGACTGTGCATCATAGTTGCCAAGTAGGCAGCATAAATGAATCAAGGTTAAGCTTGATTCTAGAGACAACGAAAAGTAATTAGGCTGGACCAAAGTTAAACAGAAGCTCAAAGCTCAAACCTGCATACCATTGCAAATTTTCAACATTAAATAGAATCCCAAAAAAATCCTTAATATTGCAAACTGACCTCAACCTCTTGCTTCTGCGGGTGCATCAGGCTGTTTCTCTGGCATAGCATTTTGAACAGCAGGCACCTCTTTGTATGCTTCATATAAACGAGATAGAAGAGAGAATTCACTCTGCATATTAGCATAAAACTCAACACAAGGAAAAATCTTTGATTGAAATGGAGAGACATATATACAATGAATTTTGGAACAACTTTCATTCAGTAGTACTGTCTTTCCCAAGTAAACACAGTTGCTGAGCACAGTGTAACAGCTAAGTTATAATAAGTTGTAAGGAACAAAGAGAAACCAAGCAAAATAAGAAAAATGACGTGTAGATGACATCATGAAGGTGAATAGGAACACAAAAAATGTTGGTTCTTTTCTGTTGGGCCCAGAGGAGGCTGGCACATAGGTTATAGTTTTGCAGGGTTGAGTAGAGCCAAAAAATTGATCACCACATATTACACCTAAATAAAAGTTCCGATCCATATGAAGACATAATGAACTGTAAACAAATGATATAGATTTTGAGGAAACTAATAGCTCAACCTACAAGTTAAATACAAGGAATTACCATATCCATATTGAATCTGTTGACAACTGCATGGATTTGGGGCACTAGAAATAGATCAGCCTGTGAGTTCCATCCATCAAGTTAAAACGCTTTTGCAAGTATCTCAGACAACATAATTTGGACAAGCCTACATTCAATATGAGGACATAGTACAGGTAATATCTGATATACAAGCATCTAGGGATGGGAATGGGGGTTCGACTTAGAGACTCCAGGTGCCCTACATCCACCACTAAACCAACATTAAGTATGATTAAAATTTTCAACATTCACTTCCCACACCATTGAGGCAGTGCATACCATTGGCAGACACCTTAGTATGAACTATTCATTTTATTGATTTATATAAATACGCATTTACAATTGTATCAAAATCATGTAAAAAAGCAAACAATACTGCCTGCATCACAAAAGAATCATGTATGAGTAAGGTAAAACTTTTATTATTGGTCAACTAAACAAGATACAAGCTTTTACAACTTACGAGGTATGCATGATCAATGACATCCTAAAACTCTAGTTTCAAAATTGTTCGTCTAAATCCCAAAAAACAGCTTGCTGTTACACTTCACACAATTTTCATCAGGCAAGAAAAGTTGATTTAAAAACTGGGCTTTTTGGACAAAAACGGTTGAAGCATATTTCTTTGTTTTACAGGAAATATAATTTTATCATTTTTGACCTGGCAGAGTATCATGTCACTAATCTTATAGCGTGTGAGCTCAACTTGCTAAAGTACTTGCATCAAGAATTAAAATACAGCAAAAAAATTTTGGACAGAAGTACAATTTTATAATTGTTGACCTTATTGAAGCAGAGTATCAGACCATGGCTCTTACTACATGTGAAGTCATATGGTTAAAGTAATTGCTTCAAGAACTAATATACTGCAAAGCGTACTCATTGTCTATGCATAGTCTCTAATCCAGTATTTCATGAAAGAACTAAGCATATTACAAGTGATTGTCATTTCAATGATTTTATACAAGGCAAAGTATTGTCGGGCCTATATGTCTAATAAGCTCGGTACCTATGATGTTACCATGATTAGGCCTTATTTGGTGATGTAATAAGTTCGCTACTCTTTATTCAGGGGGGTTTGAAATGTTTAGGGCTTCTTTGGCAACCGGCTGTTACCATGATGTCGGTGTTAGCTATTTGTACCAATTGTATCACTAAATGTGTGGGTCATCTTCTGTAGATTTGATTTATAGGGTGGAGTATTTAGAAAAAGTGTTTGGCAAGGTGGGATATTTATGTCAACTTATTGGCTTTTTTTAGGTAAAACAAGTGTTTCAAACCAGCTTTTTGGGACAAAAAAGATGTTTACCAAGCACTACTAATTGCTTGTTGGCATGTTGTTTACCTCAAAAGATCTCTTTGAAAAAAGCTCTACAATAACCTCCTTGCCAAACACCCCCTTAGGTCATGTTCTCCTCAACTTATTTTTTTTACTTATTACTTATTCTTATTGGAATCAGATCAGATCAGATGAGAAATATCTTTAAATATAACTACATTCCGATCAAATGAGATCAGATCTTATCCCAATCAGATCAGGTGAAGAGAACTTATATTTCGTATTTCCTTTTCTATGAGGCCTCTTTTGTAAAGCTCATTTGTTCATTGTGTAAGAAGCAAGCTCCTCAAATATGCAAGTTTGTAGCATCTCGTGTGTGTGAAATACTATATAGTAGATTCTAATCAGAATACTATTGCACAACATAGTTTTTTGTTCTTTGATGGCTCTTGGATTATTGTTTCCACTATCTATGCGGTGCCAATTGCCACCACCACCTGCTAGATTTTTTTTCTCTTCCTAAGAGGATTGTAAATGTTTGATAGTTTGCACTTCAGTTTTTATTTTCAAGTTTTTTAGAGTGTAGAACAACTAGGCAACAGCTATAGTCAGCATGTTTTGCAATAGGCACTGCCCATCTGATGGGTAGATAATTCTACAACATTATGTAAGGATGGATTTTGAGGGAACAGGAAAAGGGATGGATTATGTAAATGGTAATTTCAGGAGTCCCCATTGAGGGGTCCAACTGGAAATATATCCTAATAAAAGAAACTAACCAGATAAATTTCATCACCCGTGGCATACGTCCCAGCATAATTTTTCAATAGCTTCTCCAGCGCTGCAATTTTGGTATCATACATAAAAGCACAAAAAAATGACTTCTAGGATTACAAAGACTTAAATAAATGGAGCTAGTGAAATAAGAAATAACAGAGAGGTTGTTTTTCAAATATCATAAATGTAGATAGGTTGTTTTTTAAATACCCTCAGCTCAAAGAAACAAAAAATACGGGCTAGCACAATCAAATAATAAAAGATGAACAGTAAGAGTAAAACCACTACGGGGTCAGGAAAGGATGAGTAAATAACAATACATAAATGTACAAACCTCAATAGAGGCACCCTCAAAACCTAATTCCACCGTATAACTCAAATCTCAAGTCAAACTACTCTACATCTTTATACTTTGACCTCCAAACTCCACTATCTAGGTCATGTCCTGACTCCTGGGTGAGAATGTGAGACACAGAAACATATTATTCCTAACCACCTCGCCCAAATCTTCTTGGGTCTTCCACTACCTCCCCTCAAATCTCTTGCATCGCCTCATATGGTATGAGTGCTCCTTCTCTGCACATGTCCCAAACCGCCTTAAAATTGATTCAAGCATCTCACCCTCCACCATAGTTTGTAAGGCGTCGCCTAGGCGATAAGGCACTGTCACTGGGACGCCTTGTCTGCTTGCCTCGCCTAGAAAACCTTAAGGCGACCAGGAGCTCGCCTCGGCGTCGCCTTTCCTCGCCTTAATTCGCCTTACCTCGCCTTGATGCCTTGGGCCCCTTTAAAATTTTGAAAAAACCCATTTTTTAGTGCAGCTCTTTTTCTTTTAGTGTAGCCTAACAGACTTAAACTTATCTTCTCTCTCTCGGTCTTCTCTGTCAAGCTTCCTTAAAATGTATAAGACCTATATATACATATACAAATATATATATATATATATGTATATATATGTATATATATATATATGTATATGTATGTATGTATATATATATAGGTATGTATGTCGCCTAGGCGATATGAAGGTACATTGGCGCCTCGCCTCGCCTTGCCGCCTTACAAACTATGCCCTCCACAAAAGCCACTACCACCATTTTCTTGCGTATGCTGTATCCTCATTTTGAATTTTATCCTTTTTAGCAAGTACACACATAGAGTGGTCTTAACTCGCCAACACTCTGCCTCATAATAGAGCTAAGCTTTCCGAGCACATCAATCATTTCATATTTTCATCCAGCCTGCTTTGGATTGAGAAGCGACATCACCCATACAATGATAGATCCAAGATTCCAAGGTATTAGAAACAATCTCTTTTGGAGATAATTGGAAACTTGATCTTCACCTATTTCTATTCATGCGGTATACCACTTAATTTGCACTCCATATACACAATATTTACCCTGCTCAATTTGAAACCTTTAGATTCCATACTTTTCAACCAAACTTCCAATATTTCACCCTTTACCATGCTCATCTTGAAACCTTTAAATTCCATAGTTTTCGACCAAACCTCCAATATTTCACTAAGTCTCTCACGTCTTTCGGCAATAAATAAAGTGAAATTTGCACTGAATAGGACTAAACATAAGTCATTTTCTGATATAGGACTTAAACTTTTTTATTCCCTAAATAGGACTTAATAATGACTACTGAGAAGAATAATGTCCAAGTGATGCTGGACATTTAGTTGAATAATGACTAATAGATAATGACCAATGGTCCTATATTGGGAAATAAAAACATATGGTCTCATATTGAGAAAGTCATTATGTTTCAGTCCTATTTAGGTAAATTACCCATAAATAAAATATCGTCCACAAATAGCATGCACCTGCATACTTATCCCTTATCCCTGGATATGCCTTGCCAGTACATCGACTTCATCTATCCCCAAGGAGAATAAAAAAGGGACAATGCAAAGACTCCTGATGCAACCCCATCTCAGCCAAAATGTGGTATAGGTTTCTTCTCACCGTTGTTACTCTAACCTTGAATTAATTGTACATACCCTTAATCGTAGGACGATAAAGTGGGAGTTATGAAATGCAAAGGAGAGCGTTCTTGTAAACATAATGGTAGATTCCTAAAATAAATAATTTCATTGTTTTCTATGTTAAGTAGGTTATAAAAATAAAATAAAAAATAAAAAAAAGTAGATTATAAATTATAATATATTAAGAATCAAAGAGAGAAGAATGAATGAAAGTACGAATGACATAGAAGATGCATGGGTTGCAGGACAGCATGTCGCCTTGCTCAAACTCAAGTCTAGCGTAAACTAACTTTACCACCTCATGTTAATTAAGTTTTCACTTAGAAAGGCAACATGAACAATGATTATACCGTTAAAGCCTCGCTGTATATGAGACAAACACCATGGGGCTTTCTCATCAGGTCCAAACTTGTCTTCAATATATTTCTGTGTTACATAAGATAGGAACACACCACCTCAGGTCAAAATGAATTTAGTAAGAGGGAGAATTGTTAATAGCCAACCAAATGATACTACTATACTTACAAGAATCGCTAAATTTTGTAGAGGTTGTATGTTTGCAGAAACAATATTTGCAGCCTATAATCAAATAACAAATGGGTGAATAAATATAGCAACCAAACAAAAGAGAAAGCAATGTACAAAGATAATTACATGAATTATCCTAACATTTCATAGGTAAAAAGATTTAGAGGGGTTTTGAAAAGTGGGAGAAATGATATGGCTTCTAGAACTGAAATAAAGTTATTTGGAGAGATTTGAAATCATGATGTAGTTATTGATAAGTTGGGGTGGCGAGCAATGGGGGTGGTTGGGGGTGATAGTGGTAGCCAGTGGCGGGGATGGTTGTTATCTGAGAAAGATATCAAATCCCCTATATTGATATCTCTCAAATTCGGAAGATATCAAAACACTATTTGGAGGGTTTGTAATATTTAGAGATATCAAATCTGAATTCTTTTATTGCTTTACACCACCAAAAAAGGATTCTCATATTGGGAGATATCAAAACCCATATGTGCACCAGTCCCCATATTGTGGGGTACTATGATTCAGACCGGGTTGGTTGTCATATTGATAGAAATTATTGTATTGTATATTGATTGGTGAGAATCAAGTGCAAAAAAAAACTGCAAAATAAAATGCAAATAAAGAAAAGTGTGAAATGGCTCTTGCAACATGTCAAATCTTGTCGTTAAAGCTTTTACCTCTAGGAATAAAAAAATGGCAACTGAAAACCTGTTTAATTAATGTGTGACAATCAGGCAGTTATTCGCACTGCTTCTAATATAGTATACCATGAGGGAACTAATCATATTGAAGTAAGTTGACTGTCATTCATCTGAGAGCAATTAGTTGTTACACATATCATCAAAAGTTATGTTAGCATAGAAGGCCAACTTGCTGATATTTTAAGACAGTGAGAGGATATGGAACAAAATGCATTTTCAAAATGATTGGAGTATATAATATATACTAGTGTTAACCCCGTGCTTCGCACGGGCTCATAAATATTCTAAATTTTTTGAGATTGTATAAATATAATTTTAGTTATTTTAGTTTTTTAATAGTGACCAAATATATTTTAAACTCGTGGAATATATATTGGTATGTTAATTTAAAAACAAACAAATTCTACAAAATTAATGGTCATTGAATTTAGTACTAATAAAAATAGTTTTAATTAATAAAATATTTTAATAAAAAGTGGATTAATTACATAATGATACATCATTAGAGAATGTATATGTGTCATAATGTCACTTGTCAGTTATCACCCTTCAACTAAAACAATTTTATTTTATTTACTTTGTTAAAAAATATTTTTAGCATTAAAATAAATAATGTAATAAGATAAAATTTTTGAAACAAATTGTTTAATTGATAAATATGCATATGTGATTAAATTTATATAATCATTTTTTGAAAAGTAATAAACTAAAATAAGTTGTCGATAGTATAAAAATATACATGCATGCATGCATGCATGCATACATGCATGCATGCATGCATGCATACATACATACATACATACATACATACATACATACATACATACATACATACATACATACATACATGTTGGTGATGTGTAGTCATCGGCCCAAAGTGGCCCACTTGTAGACAACTGAGAATTAGGAGACCAGATTAGGGTTTCGGCCGGCCCAAATGGTTTTAAGCCCAGTTTGCTATAACTTGTCCAGCAAGGGTTAAACCCTAATTAGTTGTCTATATATTTGATCTCCTGTACTTGTAATCATCATCACTCAATAATACAAACCCTAGTTGCCCCTGTGGATGTAGGTCAGATTAGACCGAACCACGTTAAATCTCGTGTTCTCTATTGCTTTCTTGCTTTCTATTCGTGTGTGTGTGCTTTTGTTCTTAACAACTGGTATCAGAGCCTAGGTCATACACACAGATCTGCCTCCACTGCCAACCCTAGCGACTCTAGGGTTTCTGCCGACACATCAGAAGACCACCGAGATAGTCATCTGTGGGCAGTCCGAACAACCTTACTGTTCAGTTTGCTGCTGCAATTTTCGAGGTCAGTTCTGGTTGTTTGT